AAAGACAAAAAACAAAGAGAGAGAGAGAGAGAGAGAGAGAGAGAGAGAGAGAGAGAGAGAGAGAAAGAGAGAGAGAGAAAGAGAGAGAGAGAGAGAGGAGATAGAAGACAATAGTGCCCATCTATCCTGCAACTCCCGGCGCGGGGGGGGAAGGCCCGACCGGGGGCGTCGATGGTGTCTTTTCCCGAGCCCTGCTGCCCGCGCTGAGAGCGCCCCGAACGCCCTGGCCACCTCAATCTGCCCGCCAATATTTCAGCACAGCGTCGAAGTCAACTGTGGAATCGGCTCCTCGCTGCTGGGGGCGCTGACGTCAAATGGATCTGCTGCTTGGGCAGGGCCAGAACCCCCTCAGGAATGCGCGCTATAAGCTCGGACGGGGAAAGACCCAGCCAGCTCAAGTCGGAGACGCCGGCGTTTCTGCTCGAGTTCCAATGGGGCTTAGCGCGGGCTCGATACGCGGGCGATTCAAAGCCCGCCCCGCGAATGAATTCTCAGCGATTTCTCGGGCCACGCAAGCAGAATGCCGGCATTCCGCGCTCGATGTTTGTTCCGCCCGTCGAGCGCGCCTTCTATTTGACGCTTCGACATTGAGAAGGGAATAAGGGGCGGTCTGGCTCTGGGTTCCTGCGCGGCGCATCCGTTTGAACCTCTGCTTGGATCTGGGGCCCTCCCTATTCTACTCGGGCCCCATTTGAGATCCACGCAACTCAATTCTAGTCTACTCGGCCCAGCACCTGCCCCGCCCCAGCCAGGGCCCGACCGGAATGCAATCAGCAACCAAGTATTGCTAGAGCCCGCTTTCTAATTTTAATCCCACTGGGAAACACTTTTTCGAGGGGCACCCCGAAAACTTGGAGGGCGAAAGTGGGGGTCGGGCGCAGGGTCGCGGCAATGGTGCCGTTCTGGGCCACGCATGGGCGACGCATCCTGGATTGCTGTGTTCGGCGGGGGGGCCAATTGAAGCCCCCCGCCTGCGCCCGCGCGCGAGACTTGAGGGCGAGCGAAGCAAGGGGGCGGGGATCTCGGGAAAGGCGACGATGGCAACGTGCCGCGAGGGCGCACAAGAAGTTTGAATCAACGAAAGCGGCGAGGTGAGCGTCGCGACCTGCCCGGCCAATCTGACAGGCGGAACGCCGCAAGGAAAAACCAAGTGTGAATTCACACAGCGAGGAAAAGCAAAATGTGAAATCACAATTTGGGGAGAAAGAAAACGTGAATTCACATTTTGGGGAACAAAGGAATGGATATTCATGCGGTGGAATGTTGAGTAGGCGTCTTTATGACAGGGGCTAGCGTGTGAGTTCATACTGTGGGAGAAAGTAAAATGTGAATCCGCGCATGGGAAAAAAAGGGAATGTGATTTCGCTGTTTGGGAGAATCGCGGGGCCCATTGCAAATTTGTCTCGGGGGTCGACAAGTCATCGCTTGGGAGCGCACGCGGTCGTTCATCGCATAATCAAGACACACTGGCACTCCACTTCGCCGCCCCGCGCGCGCGCAATATGCAGGAACGCCCGCGCGCATGAAGGTTGAAGGGTGGGCGGCGCGTTTGCCCGCGCGGGCAGCGCGCGGGCGCGAAAGACAGGCCCCCCCCTACGGACGCCCACATTGGATACCTATCATACCCGATCACGCACATGCGCGATACATTGAGCAGGCATGGGCCCCTCAGCCCCCATTGAAGACCCCGTGTTGCAGACCCCCCTCTTTCACCTTCCAAAAAACACAGCGCGCAATTTAGCGAAACGGCGGTTCGCGCGCCCATGGGGGGGGGGGGGGGGCGTCGGGGGGGCGCGCCTGCTCCACCTGCTTGGCGCATGCGCCGGCCAAGCGTGCGATATCTACTCCATTGGGGGGGGGTGGGGGCGGGGCCCGCGCGGATCGGCAAACCAGTGCAACAGTAAGTGCTCGCACGTTGGCGCTGATGCCACTGCTCCTAGTCCTCCGTCGCCCTGGCCTCCAGATCGTTCAAGAATTCGGCCCGTTCTGCCCCCGTCCTAAAACTGCCCATCAACGCCTCCCTGTTTCACCTGACGTGTCTGGGGACGAAGCCCGCTCGAACATTCCCGCGGCCCAATGGCCCCCGAACGTGCTGTGGACGCTAGATCATAAGAGCACCGGAAAAAAAAAGGCAAACGTAAACGGCCCCAATGACCGCGATACCATGTGATTTGTAGCTACCGAGCAATCCTTCGAAGAGGGCCTGCAGAGGTGACCTGGTCAAGGGCACACTTTGCAATCAACGCGTCGTCTAGCATCGGCAAGTTTCCTGGAGGGCAGCCGCGCGCGGGGCCAGCTCCGATATGCAGGTTGGCGGGCACAAAGACCAAGGGCTGGATGACCTGTGACATGGCGTCTGCTCCATAGCTGTGTCGGGATGCGGGGGGGGCGGGGCCGAGACGGTCATCTTGCGCTGCTGTCCAATCTCCGCCGCCGCAGTTTTTCTGAAGCCAAAACCCAAAACTTGGACCCTTTTTGCCAAGATCTGGGGACATCGGGGCACATCCAACAAGGGTAAACGACCGGGTGTAGTTGCCAATGCGGCGACATGTTTTACATTGCTTGGATGCCGAGCCGCTCCTTGAAAGGGGAGACGTGAACTACGTATATGCTGGCAATCCTTAACTCTCACTGGCTGCATAGGGCCCTGCGTGCCTCCCTTCGCCCCGCGATGTGGGGAGGGGCAACTCAGCTCTGGGTGGCAATTCCGCGGCGCGCCCGCGGTCCCAGCACGATGATGCGCCCCGAAGTCTTGTTGCTACCTGGGAATCGCGTCCACCCCGCTTCTACAACCCATCTCTTTCCAGCCCTCCTCCATACAAGCACCTCCTTCCCGCACTTTCCGAGCTCCCGTCCCTGTCAAGCCTACGAAGTAAAGTCCAGCCGTGGTCTGCCCAATGCCCTGTAGACGATCGTAGGAATTCGTCGGCAGCGGGTTATATTGCAGTGCCGACACCCCCTGAAGCTTGCCATGAGGAGGCTCCTGACGGCCAGCAGCGACCGCACGTATCTTCACCCAACGCGACAGACATATCGAGGGGATGGCTTCAGAAGAGTGAGCATGTCACCGACACGCGAATGCGTGGGCAACACAAATGATTCCATTAGCGGGTGTGGGCCTCCCACCGGTGCCTACGGGCTTACGAGCAGAAGAGAGGAGGATGAGGAGGAGGAAGAGGAGGAAAACATAGGACAATCACATGAACATTAATGAAGACAATACTAAGCATGCTAATCATAATACTAATAATCGTCATAATCATGATATACTAATAGTGGTGATGGTTATAGTCGTAGTAGTGATCATAGCGATGCTACTACGGCTGATATGAATAATACGCATACTGGTAATGCGAATGATGCTGATAAATGACGCTCGGCCTCGCGCTGCATGTCTGATGTCTCCTGCCTGCTCAAGCCTGCTGGGATTCAACAAGAACGAATTGTTTCCGACAAGCCGCGCGAGCGAGTGAGTTCAGTCAAGATCGGAGTTAAGCGCGCTGATCTTGTCCACCCCTGAAGAACGATCACAACTGACGAATCTGTGCGGGAAGGGGGTGATGCCCCCAGGAGAGCCCAAAATCGGATCGACAAGTCGGATTGGCGATCTAGGTGAATCGGATCGGCGAAAATCGGCAGCCAAGTCGGGAGAAGTCGGATTTGCAGAAACCTGCAGGCTAGTAAGCCTCCATTGAGATATCGGAATCCAAAATGGAATCCGAAGTGGAAAAGAACCGGAATCCATCGAAACCAAATCAAATCGAATCGGGGGAGTCGCAACGAGCTCTGTGCCCCTGTGCCCCCGCAGTGTGGGGCCACGAAGCGCAGTGCTGGGCGGGGGTCCCGCATGCGAGTGCAGCCACTGGGGCCTTGGGCGGAGCTCCCCATGGGGACACGACGCACTGTGCTGGGCGGGGGAGCCGCCTGCAAGTGCAGCCGCTGGGGCCACCCGTGGAGCTCCCTATGGCGCCACGAAGCGATCCACTGGGTGGGGGCGACGCATACCGATGAGGGCAGAGGCACGGAGGGGAGCTTCCTATGGGGACATGCAGCGCTGAACAACGTCGGGGTCACGCCTGCGAAGAGCAGCGACAGGGGCCTTCGGTGGAGCTCCCTATGGGGCCACGAAGCGCTGTACAGCGTGGGGGTCCCGCATGCGAGAGCAGCCACTGGGCCTTCGGTGGAGCACCCTATGGGGCAACGACGCGTGTGAGCGGTGTGCCAATGTGAGGGAGGGGGAGGAGGAATGAGAGGAGAGGAGACGCGGGGCGCTTTCTCTTCAAAACGAGGACCCCACTCCACAGGATGGTTGCGAACAACTACAGGCAAACGTGGCCACGTCCTCTCTCGACACGGTCCATGGTTGAGCGACTGTGTGGCGCAGGCTCCACCATGAGCGGGCGCAGGCCTCGTGAGTCCGAGAGGTTCCCGCTGCGCTCAAACTATGAAACTGAAAACCTGTGTGGCGCTGGCTTCACAGCGGGCGGGCGCAGGCCACACCAATCGAAGGTGTTCCCGCTGCGCTCGGAGTGTGCCAGGGATCGGTCAGAGGCTCCGCCGACCGTCAAAGAGGAGACGATCCACTGTGTCGAGCTGCTCGTTCTCTGGCCTGCATCCTCGGGCGGAATGCCTCAATACGCACTCGCCACATGCTCATGACTTGGCCTCGTCCTTGACCCTGTCCGCCTTCGTGCGGTCCAGCAGCTGCTGTGCCGTCTGCTTGAAGTAGCCGACTGGCGCTGTTCCCAACTTCAAGCGGTCGCCGAGATGAACCAAAGCATTGATCAAACTTTGCTCGAACAACAACTTTGAAACTTCCTTCTCCGCAATCCGCAGTCCGTCGCGGAGGAGGAAGGGGACGAAGAGTAAAAGGAGAAGTAGGAGGAGGAGGCGGAGGAGGGAAGGAGGAGGGGAAACAAGACACGGAGCAGGCGAGGACTCTCATCGGCGACCCATACTCTGGACATAGACTGAAACACGCAATCCACTAAGGTCCGGGCATCCGCTCCACCACCAGCCGCCTCTTCGCCTCAGGTGTAAAGTGCGTCGAGGTCTGAGGCAATCGGCCAATCGACCTCTCGAGCATTGTCGACGTTTTTTCAGCAAGTACGCATACCACAAAAGGACGCCGCTGGGGGGCCAAACAAGAAACAACGACACGTCACCGTCTCGAACATCGATCCTCAGGGATCACTGCGAAGGAGGAGAGGGAGGAGAGGTGGAGGAGCAAAATGTCGAGAGGATGTGGCTGCTGGAGCCGTGAGGGGCAGCCCTGCTGAAAACCGCCCTGCATCTGTGTATACAGAACTATTGAGCATCATGCGACCGATCCCCATCGCCCCTGATATGGCCTCTTTGGCTGGAGGAGGAGGAGGAGGAGGAGGAGGAGGAGGAGGAGGACGGAGGAAGCACCCCCCCTGGGCCCCAGGTGGGGATACATGATGCTCTCTTCGGGCTTCGCGGGAGCAGGAACTGGCGGGGCTGCGATACCATAGCCCCGTCGGGATACAGACGGGCCAAACGATGTCGACTGATTTCCTCATGGCGCCCAAATGGTCAATGGGAAACCGCTCTTGCTCCAGCCACTTCCCCAGACTGGGGAACAAACGACATACACATAAAACCATCAGGGGCCCGCGCGGATTTCTTTGGATCAGCGCTGGACCACTGGACCTCTTCCCTGGCGCGCGGAGCGCGCCAAGGGCGGCGCCAGAGGCACCTCAAGGCGGAGTCCACCGCAGATCCAAGAGTCGAGGAGAATCCTGCCAGGGATCTTCAGGACGAGCAGCGGCATCGGCATAACTTCCCTGGGCTGACCCACTGCACGCCGTCCTTTGCTCACCACTGTCGGAGGAGAAGCAGCAACTAGAAGCCTGCCAGATGGGGTCCGAGCAGATGGGGTCGGAGAGTCGCGTCGCATCCCCATCGCCGATGCATCGGCGACGCGGGCGACACATCGGCACCGTCAGCGCAGATAAAATCGGGTTCCATATCGAGCCGCACCATCGATGCATCGGCGAAGCGGCGCGTTCCTCCAACTCCATCTGCTCGGACCCCATCCCAGGCCCAGAGACTTCTTTGCTCATCAGCGGGTGCTCCCACGAGCTTGCCATCGCTCGGACGGCCTCTCCCCGTGCATCTGTCGTCGTCGTGCGATCATTATTTGCGCAAGATGATCCAAGATGCTCACCGATGGCCTTCGCCGAGAAAGCATGCAAACGTCCGAGCGATGCCAAGAGAGGGGGTCGTCCAAAACGGGGGCTTGCGCATTGCGGCCCGCAGCACGGGCGCGGCCCCAGGACAGGGGGACCATTGGACGTACTGAGATACAGAACGGCGCCGTGACATCTGCAGCGATGTCCTGCTCCTCCTCCTCCTCCTCGTCCTCGTCCTCCTCCTCCTTCTCCTCCTCCTCCTCCTCTTCTTGCTCCTCCTCCTCCTCCTCAAGCATTTTTTAAAATAAAAAATCCGCTCTGTCACACACCCCAGACGAGTCGGTAGGGCTCGAAGAGCGTTTCGCCTGAAATCCCTCCGCCATGTATATGATCCTGGAGCTTGAAGCTTGCAACAGTTTTTCGGGTGAAAGAAAGGATGTGTTCAGCATGTGGCTCTCGCCGTAGCGCCGCGTAAATTCGTCGTACTGGTCATTCGCATTATCCGACGGGGGGAGAGCGTAGCGTGCAGTCCCACCAGCCCTCTGGGCGTAGGTGGTCTAGAGCAGATCCTCTTCCACCCCTCCCTCTTCCCCCTTGGGGAGGGGTTTACCCCTCCCCCTACCCCCTCCCCTGGACCTGGACGGGGGGGGCCGCGGGTAGTTAGAGCGTCCCAGATGGCCCAAGACGGCTCCAAGAGCGCCTCAGAGAACCCAAGATGAGCTCCAAGATGGCTCAAGATAGCGCAAGATCGCTCGAGATGGCTCCTAAGATGGTTCCAAGAAGCCCAAAGACGGCCCCAAGATAACTCCAAGTGGCCAAACAGCTCCCCAAGGAGGCCCCGAAGAGGCCAAAATCGTCCCAAAACCTAAGGAAAATCAATGATTTTTGCTTTCTCGCCTTTTCGCTTCCGATGGCCATCCGAGGCCTGGAGATGGTTCCAAGATGGCCCAAGAGGGCCCCAAGAGAGCCCCAAAAGAGCCCCAAGACGGCCCCAAGAGCGCCCAAGAGCACTCCAAGAGCGTTCCAAGAGGGGTCCAAGAGGCGATTTTAGGGGCTTCCGAGGGGGGGCGCTAATTAAACCCCCCCTCTTGTTTGATCGATCTCCTCCAAGATGGCCCCAAGAAGCGCCCAGGAAGCCCCAAGAGGTCCCAAGATGGCCCCAAAATGGCCCCAAGAGGCCCCCAAGAGGCCCCCCGGAGGCCCCCAAGAGACCCCCAAGAGGCCCCAAGAGCCCCCCCAGATGCACCCAAGATGCTCCAAGAGGCCTCGGCGAGAATGCCTAATCATTGATTCTACACAGGTTTTAGCCACATGGAGGCCTCTTGGGGGGGGGCACGGATTAAGATGACTCCAAGAGCGTCTGGGAGAGCCCAAAATGACCTCCAAGATGGCTCAAGATATCCCAAGATGTCTCATAATGGCTTCCTCTGTGTGCTGCCCACTTCTCTGATCGAGGCAATTCCTCTGGGCATCGTTTCTGGATGGGCTGGTGGGGATTCGCGAAGCGACAACAATTTCCAAATTCTAGCTGTCGCTTCAGCGCAACGCAGATTCGCTCCCAACTGTTTCCAACACTTTCATGGGTGGAGGGCGGCCGTTTCAAAATGTGACGCTCGCGTTAGAGCCGCGCACGCTCGACCTAAACTATTGCGGCAATTTCGCGGGTGAACGGCGGTTCCTCCTCGACATGTGGTTGCCGCCTTAGCGCCGCGCCAATTAAGCTTCATCTTCGCAGACTCGTATGGCCGGAGTCCCACCATTTGTGTTCTGGCACGATTCAGAACTGTGGAGGCGAAGCGCCAACACTGAATGGTGTTGAAGTCCGAGAGGTGGTGTTATGGTAGACGAGTGAGCAATACCAACTCGCAACAAATGCGTTAATCCGCGGCGTTGGAAACACGGGAAATATGTTGGCACGCGTCACGATGCCCAGGCGATTAATTTTCAACGGGCCCCCCGCAATGACGACAGCTTCTTATAGGGACTTACGGCAAACAAAGAGTTGTGAGGGAGGGTATTGATACATCGTCGGCGCACATTGTGTTTACAATGATCCTCTTGTTGCTGTCCTTCCTCCTGTTCATCCATATTCGTCCTCCTCGTCCTCGTCCTCGTCCTCGTCCCCCTCCTCCTCCTCTTCCTCCTCCTCCTCCTCCTCCTCCTCGTCCTTCTCCTCCTCCTCCTCCCCCTCCTCCTCCCCTTCCCCCTCCCCCTCCTCCTCCTCCTCCTCCCCTCCTCCCCCCCCTCCTCCTCCATCCTCCTCCTCCGCCTCCTCCCCCTCCCTCCCTCCTCCTCTCCTCCTCCTCCTCCTCCCTCCTCCTCCTCCTCCTCCCCTCCTCTCCTCCTCCCTCCTCTTCCCCCAATCACAAGCAGCGATGTGGACATAAACAATCGTAGCTCCGCGACCGCCCCCCCCTCGACTCCCCCCCCCCGGTATGGTCGCCACCCCCCTCTCGGTTCCCCCCGACATCATCGGAAGAATGGAGGAGGAGGATCGACGATCGTGAATCGAGGATCGAAGATAAAAGATCGAGGAGGAGGATCAAGGATCGAGGATCGAGGAGGAGGATCGAGGATCAAAGATCGAGGATCGAGGGCCCTCCTCCTCCTCCTCCGGCAGAAAAAGGCGGTCCGGGGCCCCGACGTCGCGGCAGCCGCCCACCCACCGCCCCAGCACGGCACACAGGGCCAGCAGCAGGGCGAGCAGGGCCCAGGCAGCGAGCGCCAACGAGGACGCATCAGCGCCACCCACTTCCTCTCGGGTCGGGCGCAAGGGGGGGATATAGCAAAGGGGGGGGGGTTGAGAATCAGCTCGCGTAGCTGATTTTCCCGGCGCCTCCCGGCGCCGGAGGCGGCTATGTATCGAGGAATGGGCCCCTGGGTGAGGCCGAAACCAGCTGCATGCAGCAAATTTCGAACCCCCCCCTTTCCCAATCCCCCCCTTTCGCCCGGCCCGATCCTCGGGCGGGTGGTCGGCGAAAAAAAAAAGGGGAGGACAACGGACCAGCGGGCTCGAGCTGCGGGGATCGGGGGCGGTGCGAGAGAGAAAGCATGGCAACAGTGAAGATAGATTGCGGGCCGACTCCTTTTCAACGAAAATGACATATTTGCGCCAGTGCTCGAGTCAATCAGCGGCGGAACCTCGTACCTGAAACGTACATGTGCGGGCGATCGGACAGTTTTTGGCAAAGAAAACAATACAAAAGAGAACGGTAGCCATAACTGTCCAACCGGTAACACTCTAAAATTTGGCAGGACACGCCGTCGCTGTCTAACCTTGAGGGCGCGCGACGCGCAGGGGGTGCGCGGGCTATCCAGTGCAATGGTGAGCTCGCTCGCGCTCTTAGAGCGGCTCTAAAGGAGCTCGCGCGTGTAACTGCTGATGATAATGTGGGTTTCTTCGTGCCGCATTCCGTATGATGGTGGTGACTTCGGGCCCGGGGTCAGAGGCGTGGGGAGGTGGACGAAGCGTGCCTTGACATGGTGAGTTGAGGAGAGAGAAAGAGAGAGGTGATGGACGGAAATCGCCCTTGAGGGATGCGTGCGCTTTTTGGTGCTATCGCCCCAAGGCTCGCCGCGGTCACGATCCGCGGGGGCCGCTCCGAACTCAAAGTCCGCATGTGATTCCCCAAGCAGAGCTTGCCTCTGTAGGGGTCCTAGGGGGGAACCTGGGTGCCCAGGGGCGCCCTAAGGTGCCAAGAGGTTCCCAGAGGTGGCCAAGGGTGCCCGGAGGTGCCCTGGGGTGCCCCGAAGTGCCAGGGGGTGCCTGGATGCTGCATCTCCGGATCGCCCTATAGCCACATAGCCCGATAGCCCTATTGCCATATAGCCCTATAGCCCTATAGCCTTTTAGCCCAGTAGCCCTGTAGCCCTATAGCCCTGTAGCCCTATAGCCCGATAGTCCTATAGCCCTATAGCCCTATAGCCCTATAGCCCTATAGCCCTATAACCCAATAGCCCAACAGCCAAATAGCCCAATAGCCCATATAGCACGATAGGTCTATAGCTCTACAGCCCTAAACATTATGCTTGGGTTTTTTCTCCAGTGCCATATTGTTGCTGGGCGCGCCGAGCTGGGCACTGCCCGTGGGCGAAGGTTACTGTGGCTCCTCGCAGGCGCCAGCCGCGTGGAAGGTCCGCGCTGGTGGGCCGACACTACTTTTAACAAACAGAAGCGTGATGACTAGATCCAGATCTAGTCGAAACGGAATCGGGAATCAATCCAAACCTTTCTTGTTCTCTCAAACTAGATCGCGGTCCCGTCTGAAACGAATCGAGAATCGCACGTCATGATTGCCCCCGCCGCACCGACGCCCACCACCCACTAAGCCGTTGGTCCTGCGAGGCTTGGTTGGCGTCGCCGCCGCGGGGTCCGTAACCTCGTCGCGGGCGGCTATTATCTTTCGGCCCCTGGCCCAGCTTGTCTCCTCGCGTTTGCGTCCCCTGTCCTTCTCTAAGCGCCTCCCGCCCTGTCCTCGCGCTCAATGGCTGCCGTCTCCGCGCGGCCCCCCCGTCCGCTTGCCCGCCCGCACCGCCAGCACAAGTCTCTCGCCGGCGTGCGCGTCGTCGTTTGTCCTCCTCCTATTTCCCGTCCTCCTCCTCCTCCCCCTCCTCCTCCTCCTCCTCCTCCTCCCCCTCCTCCTCCTCCGCTGGGCGGCGCACCCAGTCGGAGGCCAGCGCGGCGGCGCGCTGGGCTTCGCTGCGCGCGAGATTTCGCCGGCGCCGGAGCTGAGTGGGCACCGCGAGAGTTCCGAGTTGCCCCCGAGTTCTCTTCCAGCGTTTAATTTTTAGGTTGGATCCATCAGGGCGCTTTCCCGCGCGTGGGGGTTTGCGAAGCGTCGTCGACGTCTCGGTGGACGGCGCCGCCCGTCGGTTCCCCCGCGCCGCAGCAGGTCCAGCGCCTCATTCCTGGAGGTGGCGCAGGCGGCCCCGTCGAAAGAAATGCTGCAGCCCATGTCCTTGACAGCAGCCTGGCGCAGCCGAGTTGAAGCGATATTTAAGTTGGCCGCGGCCAGGGGGGCGGCGCCAGTGCCGGGCGCCCCGCTGCCTTCGATGCGCTGTTTCACCTGGGCGCCATGGGGGGGCAGCCAGCTTGCCGCCGCTCTCCGAACCACGCGCCTTCACCTGGGAAGCCGCGAAACAACGCCCTCGACGACCCCTCTCAAAACGCAGAAATGGCCGGCCGCTAGATCGGCCGCGCGCGCAAATCCGACGCAGCGATAGGCGGCGAGGATATAACGCCTCGAACTGAACCCCTGCGCAGTGGGCCTCTAGTCTGCCGAACAGTGCCCCGCGCGCCACGCGGCCGCGCCTCGGCAAGGGCCGCCGAGCGCCATGCCTCAGAAGAAGCCGCTTCCGCCCTGGACGTCTGGCGCCCGACTGCGTCCGCGGCAGAGGCGAACGCCGGCCCGGGCACGACCGCGACTCCGCCGCGCGAATCATCGCCCTCCCCCCCGCCACCGCGCGGGCGTCCATGGTCATCCAAGAGAAGTGTCTCGCGGGGAAGCCGCCCGCAACGAATGCCGCCTCGCGGGTGAAATTACTTCAAGGAAAGAGAAGGCCTTAAGATCAGATTTGGCTGCGCCCCCGCGTAGCTTGGGGCCGCTTCCCGGACCCTGGAAACACAAATCCGCCGGGCCCCGCAGGAGGCCCGGGGGCCCGAGATGACGAGGCCCGAGGAGGC